TATAACTCCCAGTCTATGCCAAAATCTGCCTTCTGCAGTGTAAAGGGAGCCAGGAAGATGACTAAAGGGACCAACCATCCCAGTGGTGTCAGCCCCTTCCACCATGCCAGCCTGGGCTTTGTCACCATGAAATATCTACATTTGCAAATCTTAGAATTACAAAATTAATTAAACTGTTCAACAAGCCTATATTAATCACATACTATCTGCCAGATATACTGTGCTCTGCAGCAGATGTTACAAAATGAATTACGTATGGATCCCTTGGTGATGACTCCATCACCTCTTTTATTTTCAAGAAACTGCAGAACGAAGAACCAAGTGGGAATCAGAGAATCTAGACTGTTCCACCTCTTACAGCTGTGTGATTTTAGATAGATCAGATGACCTCTCTGAACCCCTTGACTTTCTTATCTAGGAAAGGGTAGTAAATAGTATCCATCCCACAAAGATTTTTGTTTGTTTTTCTTCAGATAGAGAAATGACATAAAGTAGATAACTAGCTTTATAAACTATAGAACAACATACAGCTTCTCTAAGGTGAGGCTGGTTTTTATTATCCAAGGTTGCAGAGCTCATTAAAGGGATCCTGGGAAAGTCAGCCACCATAGACCCTACTTTTCTTTCATGACCTCTGTGACCTTCAGCAACCTGGGGAGGAGGTAATTGAGCAGCAACTACTACTTCGGAAGAAACAGAATCGAAATATTGAAGCTATTGACTCACCCTTAAGGTAGTAAACAATGCTTTGGTCTCTGACCTTTTCGCATCCTGGGGCAGTCAATAACCTGGCCACTAGATGCAGCGCCTGCCACTGATTTTGATTTGGGAGTAGTTTAACCTTGAACTGAGCTCCAAGTAACCAAGGCAACAGGAAGTCAGCTTCTGCATCGAAGGAGCAGGAATCCATAAATCAAGTCCCTAATGCAAACACGGTGTGCAGGTAGAGGTTTGAGGGGATAAGTGGTCTATGAGAAATTACCTTTGAAAATGAGTGACTATTTCCACATAGGCTACAGCACAGTTTCAAAGACTTTTTAAAAAAAAAAAAATTATCAATAGAGGTCAATAGGTTATAGCAGAATGTTTTTCTTATAGGTTTAACTTTTTTGTATTTCCTCCTGTGTCTTTTAATTAAGAACAGATGTTGGATCCACAAAGGTATTAGCATTGTTATTTTCCTCTTTAAAAACTTACTGGCCTCCAAATAGGCAATCCTCAGTGCAATTTGTCTCATGTTGGGGTTTAGTGATGCTCTGAACACGCCTACCAAGAGTGCTCTCCATACAGTCTACTTTCTGAGTTTGAGACCCAGTGATCCCTTCCCAGAGCACACCAGTGGCATTACAATTGTCTCTGTGTAAGCAGTGGTGCTACATCTCAATGGTCCCGTCAGTACAAGGTTAAGTCTGGGTTTCTTTATGATCACCCTCTAGCATCAAAAATCTCCCTCCCATTGATAGAAGCCTGGTTCATGCTGAGAAGAAACGTTTCAAATGCCGCCCCCCCCCCCCCAACCACTTTGCTTTTGCTCATCATAGAATATCAGTCACCACCTGGAATGAAGGGTAATGAAGAGGCTTCCAGTGGTCAGCCCGCCCAATGCACTCTCCCAAGGACCAGTACCCCATCACCATCTCCTGATACCTCTGCCCTCAGACAGATTTTGTGGATTAATAAGTGTTCATAGATTAGCCTTTGTTTAAAGTGTACTTAATATTCTTGCTTGTATTATTTCTGGGATTGTTTCCATTATCCTTTCAAAATTCAAAAATGGCTGAGAAAAATGTCAGGGCTTTTTTTTTTTTTTTTTTCTTTTTTAATTTGTTTTCAAAATCATTGGGTGGTAACTAGAAAGCTGTACTCGAATCTAGAAAATTCTAAAGGATCTAGGGTTTTCAAGAGAGCTAATAGTAACCATCTAAATTATAGAATGTTTTAAGTATCATTTTATTACTATTAGTATATTCTGTAACATAAACACTTGAGTAGCAAAGTACACCCATGAGAGATCTGACTGGCTCAACTCTAATGAATTGATGTGGACTGAGACTAATTTGAATTGTGAGCATTTGCATAAAAATGGGTACAACTAAAGTGACTTAACTCCATTTATTCCGAAGTGAGAGCTAAATATCTGACTGCTAATCCTGTTTATGGCCTTCATGCCCCAAGCATATCATAATTTGAACAAAGAATTACCTTCCCAACTTGTGTCCACGGTATAAAGATGACATATCAGTGAGTTTTTCCAGAGGAGCTGTTATGCAATAGAAATCTGACAGCTTAGATTTCCTGAGGTGTTCCATGGAAATTCTGCCTCCATCCATTCGGTGGGAATGCCATGGTGGTGCAGTGTACCAAAATGGGAAATTTTCATCAGACTCATGCCTGCCTTGCCCATTATCAGACTTTTTAGCAGCCAAGTTGTGAAAACACCTCAGTCATTCTGCCCCTGTGCCCATAGGCTTCTGGATATTTTCCAAACTGTGTTTGTTTTCTGAAAGGAATGAAAAGTTTAATACATGTTTGTGGGTTTTTAAAATATTAACAATAAAGAAGGCTAAGAAGTGGCCAGGCGCGGTGGCTCATGGCTGTAATCCCAACACTTTGGGAGGCTGAGGCTGGTGGATCACGAGGTCAGGAGATCGAGACCATCCTGGCCAACATGGTGAAAACCCATCTCTACTAAAAATACAAACAATTAGCTGGGTGTGGTGGCAGATGCCTGTAGTCCCAGCTACTTGGGAGGCTGAGGCAGGAGAAATCGCTTGAACCCAGGAGGTGGAGGTTGCAGTCAGCCGAGATTGTGCCACTGTACTTCAGCCTGGGCAACAGAGTAAGACTCTGTCTCAAAAAAATAAAAAGTTAAGAAGTAAAAACACTGCCTCTTCCTTACCAGTCTCTGAGCTCTCCTTCCTCAGAATAACCACTGTTACCTATTTGGATGTGTTGCTTTACACATGATTTTGAATGCATTTTAAATATGTCTGTACCTAGCCCATGATGAGCACACCTGCAAATTTTACAAACAAGGCATACTATACATACTTGCTACACCTTCTAGTTTCTTGATGGTTCTGCCTTGCAATCTGTCTGTCATAGAATTTGATGTTTGCCTATCTCCACCTTCAAAGGGCTATGAAATATAAACTCCAAGAAAAGCATAAGTGGCATTTTTGTTCATGGCATCACAACTGGGAGTTTCAGAGACCGAAATGGAGAATAGGAGGAAGGAAGGAGGTAAATGTCAGCATGACTGTCTTCCTTAGATAGTTACAGATGCCTTATCCAGGTGTGATACTGGGGCCTCTTCATCCTCAGTCATGCTGTCGGCAGACTGGGGTCATGGTCAGGTATTCGAGTATGGCCAGATGGACCAATATGATCCCTGGGTTTAGCGTCCAGCTACCTGGAAACTTCCAGCTTTGACATTAAGAGCTGTATGAGTGAGTTCAGTTCTCTTTTAACCTTTTAGAAATGTGCTCTCTTCATCTGTAAAATTGAGAAAACGGTAATATCCACACTACATGCTTCACAGGGTTGCCACGAAGCCCAAGAGAAGCTGATCACAAAATGGCAATGAGATAATGTTACTCTGGGAGGGGACTGTATCACTCAGGTTAGTTGGGATTAAAAAAAAAAATGAGTCAAGAACCAATATGATAAGGCCCAATTTGTTGTTGTTGCTGTCAGTGTTATGTAGCTGACAGATGGAGAAACTGAATAGGTAACCATTTGAAATGGATTCACATGCCCTCAGCCTCTGGACTTACATTTGGATGAGTAGAGAGCCTTGTTTTTGCATTGGGGTGGGGAGGAAGGTGCCCATATATTCTTAGTCATGTCAGGGAGAAGAACTGACCCTTTGCTTGCTGGTTACAATTGGTTCTGAGGAAGCAGCAGGTCATAGTAATGATAGTTGCAATAATAGGGATAATAATAATGTTAAGCACTTTCATAGCACGGACTATGCACTAGGCACTGTTCTAAGCACTTTACATCGATCGACTTGTTGGATGCTCACAACATCCCCTACAAGGTAGTATCATCACTACCCCATTTTTACAAGTAAAGAAGTTTAAAACTTGGAGAGATTAACTAACTTGCTCTTCATCACAGAGTTGGAAAGTGGCGAAGCCTGGATTCAAGCTCAGGAAATGGGATTGCAGAATAGCTCTTACTGTTTGTTACATAGGAAATTTCTAGGCCCTTACAGGGGCACCTCCTGACTCCTCAGGCTTTTCAGCATCATCATGACATGACATATGATGCCTGTTATGACCAGACACTTAAAGGCCCCCAGATCAGCTCTCCTTACCCTACAGGCTGATGACACACTAATCCCCACAGTTCATCTTCCACCTCCAGCATGCTGGCCTCATCTGCATCATGTTTACTCCCCTCCCATGCCTTAGCCTATGCTCTTACCGAAAGGGCCTTTCCCTCATCCTTGAAGCTTCAGCACGAGCCTTTCCCCACTTCTTTCAACACTGATCTCTATGTCCTTAGAACTCCCCAAACACCTAGGATAAGTAACACACAAGCCTGCACGAGCTTGCTGTCCAATTTTTCCTTCTCATTCAGTCTTGTTTCCCCAGCTGGATGAGAGGAGAAGTCTTACTAGGGTAGGAGCCATGTCTCTTCCACTCTGAGCTCCCCATCATGCTGCACACGCACAGCCTCTGTAAAGATAGGAATGTACATCATCAGAAGGCAAAGGGTCACCTGATGCATTATTCTGCTTCACTAGGCCTATGCTGTGACCCCACCACTTCCAGACAGCCAGCCTAGAATGGCATCACTCCTAACCTCAGCCACAAAAGCAAAACCAGTCATAGCTATTTTTCCTCTTTAAGCATTTTAAATTTCATTCTTGTTGTACCAGAAGGAGGTGTTCAAATCCTTTGACCATTTCCTCAGATCATGTCCAGGTTATATGTTGTCTATCTTCCTGTTCCCTTAAAGTGACTGAAAGCTTTGGGGTTGTTATTTTTTAGGGATGCCAAGTCCCCACTTAAAAGTGGACCAGACAGCAGTGCATAGTAAGAACGAAGGCTCAGTGCCCACCATGATGACCAGGAAGAAGCCAGCCACAGTTGACAGTGTTGCAATTCCACCAGCCCCAGTGTTATCTCTCCTTGCTGCATCCGCAGCAACATCGGACGCAGGTGAGCACTTTTCAGATGCTTTGGGTTCACCCCAAGCAAGACGAATGTGGAGAAAGCCCACTGAGAATGGCCTGTTGAATACAGGTAAGAGTACTCTGTTTTGCCATCGTCCCGTAGACTCTGAACATGGGAACTGTTTCAGCACTGGCTCTTTGAAGTGGGAGGAGATCTGAGAAAAGAAGGAGATCTCCTGGGAATGTAGAGGGTGGGTACTCCGGAACATTCTTCACTTTATTCTAACATGGGTCCACTGAGTAGCAACTAAATGCTAACATTATTAATCACTCTTTGTCAAGCCTTAGGAATTACTAATCTCTACATCAAGGGCCTTATATATGTTATTTCTTGTAGCTCATAAAATAAACACTTGTATCCTCATTTTCAGAAGAGGAAGCTAAGAGTAAAGAAGCCTGCCCCAAGAACCTGTGGACAGTCAGGATTCCAAAGCCCATGCTCTCAACCAGTGCATTTCACTGTCCCTTGCTCATCAGGGTTGAAAGACCTGATGAGTAATCACTGATTTATTGATGCATCGATACCTCCTACCCATGAATTGATAAATTTCTCAGTAGTTCCCAGAGTCCTCGCCAACAGTGGATAAAATATAAACTCCTTATTTAGATATCTCAAGTTCTCCACAGCCTGGTCCTTTCCACCTCTGTTCCCCACAGTGCCTCCCACCAGCCCCTGTGCCCACCTCCACTGTGTCAAGCTCATCCCTGCCTCCAGGAAGAGAGGCCTTGGGTTTGACTTAACACCTGAACTTGGAGACAGCCTTACTCAATTCCTAATCACATCCTACAAGTCCTTAAAACACAGCTAGTCACAGCTCCTCCAGGATACCCAGAATCTCTACCATGCAGTTCCCATCATTTCACAGACTGCAACTTCTCCCATGTAACAAAATTGCACATACCTCAGAGGCAGAGTCAACTATTTAGATTCTTGCTATCTCCCTGACATGCAGCATGACAATGTTACATACATATTTCTTGAATTAACATATTAATGTAAATGTGGCAAGCACATTACAGTATTTAGAAAGGCCTGTTATGATTAGAAACCCAAGAAGAGACTCATTCTTAATATTTAGTCCAAATTCATTTTTCAATTTAGCAGTTTGCTTTGAGTAAAGAACTCAACTTGTCTATATAACTACCTCCTTCATGGAAAGCACTGGTAATTAGAAAATGAGCCCAACTGAAATAACAGAAAGAAACACTTGGAATGACACTTCCCCAGTTGAATTCAGCAAAATACTAGTAGGTGTTTTGTGATAAAGGATGTTTTCATGGAAAAGTAGGTGTAGGAAAAGCTGCTGCCTTGCCCCTGATTCTTTCTTGCAGGGCTTTTCAGGGCCTTGCATTGACCAATGTGCATTGTGAGGTTGCAGGATCATATCTGAACATACAACCCTTTTTTCTGGGACTATCTCTTAACATCTCTTGGAACTGGTGTTCCCTCCAGCCATTTGAAAACTCTTGCTCTGAAGGAATGGGGTCATCTCTCAAATATGATCATGAGCCTTTACTTGGTGTGAAACAAAAAGTTTGTGGTGGAATTGCCAGGTAAATGGTGACAATGAGGAGTACAAGAAGAAGACAAAGGAGGGAAAGTCACAGAGAAATGCAGAGGAAGTTACCCCTGAGATTTGATGGATTAGTAGCACCTTGGAGGGAGGGTGTCCAAACAAAGGGAGCAAGTTGGGCAGCGTCTTGGAAGTGGGAACTGGTGCTATGGCTGACTTCAAGGAAGACATCATTTGGTTTAAGCAAAAGATTTGGGCTATGCTGTGCACCCACCCAGATCAGTGGTTATTCAACCTTGTCGATTAAGCACTGGACACCTCCCTTTATGGATTGAGAAATTAGTCTTTGTGTTTCCACCTTTGCCTGCCATGCGCAGATATTCCCCTGAGGCAAAAGACAGGTGGTCCCCTATTTTCCTCCCCTGCACTCTTTCCCTTCATTGTGAGAGAACTTATTCTTGGGATCACATGCTTATATGGGCCTGCCTCCTCTAGTGCATCCAGTAAATAATTTACGAATATGCCAAATGGGCAGTAGAAACAGGTGGGTATTACACTTTTATACTTGACTCCCTGGTAATCAGAGCTCAGCCCAGACGCCCCTGTTGCAGGATGCAAGAACGGGCTGTTTATTTTTGGCAGTACTTAAACGAGACCCTCATGAGAATTTCACAGATTTGGTCCATTTCCGGGTCTCTGGCTGCTGAGCTGGACTTTTGAGGGGAAATAGGCCAGATATCTACCCCAGGTGCTGGAAGACAGACCTTCCTGAGATTTCACTCCCCACAGATAAAAAGCTTCCCACAAACCTGGGAGAGCTAGAAATACACAGGCTGGGCTTGTGGCCAATGATCTGTTTTACACGTGAAGAAACTGAGGCCTCTTGAGATTCAGAGATTTGCCTGAGGTCATACAGTTGGATTGGAACCCAAATTTCCTGATTTACTGCCCGATTTCCAGTGGATTCCCACTTCTGTCATAGTCCCAACATGAGCAAAGGCAGATTTTTTTTTCCATAAATATGGACTTCTACTTCTTTTGGAGAACAGTGAATGAAGCTCATAATTTGATGAGGTAGAGAGAGAGCTTTAGCCAAAGCCAAGCACATAGTAGGTAGTTAATAGTTTCTGGATTTGATCTTATTTAATTAGGTGCTTGAAATATATAGTAACATATATAGTACAGTAATATATATTTCTGACGAAACAACTCACTTGATTTTTGTTTTCTTTCGAGCGCCTTTCTTCATCTTTCACTATAAACAAGGTAGAATTACTTCTGGCTTTAGGCAGGGATCAGCTTATTTTTCAATAGGTTATCATTTCTACAGAATGGTTTTGGAAACACAGACAATTGCAGGGAGAAAAGAAAAGGAAAGAAGAGTTAAACTAGGTGGCTTATAAAACAAATTTAAGAAGTCATGTATAGACATAATAAGGTGATGAAGTAATTCGATTAATTAGAAATTTTATTTAGAAATATGGATGCAGGCCAGGCATGGTGGCTCACACCTGTAATCCCAGCACTTTGAGAGGCCGAGGTGGGTAGATCACCTGAGGTCAGGAGTTCAAGACCAGCCTGGCCAACATGGCGAAGCCTCTACTAAAAATACAAAAATTAACCAGGTGTGGTGGCATCCCCCTGTAATCCCAGCTACTCGGGAGTCTTCCGCAGGAGAATTGCTTGAACCCGGGAGGTGGAGGCTGCAGTGAGCTGAGATCGTGCCACTGCACTCCAGCCTGGGTGACAAAGCGAAACTCCATCTTAAAAAAATAAAAAAATAAAAAAAATTAAGAAAGAATGGAAGCAAAAATACCTAGTACAGTTCCTGACACATGTTACATGCTCAGTAAATAATCACTGAGCGAAACAAATGATTGAGAGGCAGTAGCTGTGTGCTTTTACAGCATTAAATATGATGAGAGATACCTGAGAAAAACAAAATCTTGAAACTGCCATTTTGTTTTTTTGGGGGGTTTTTTTTGTTTTTTTAAGATGGAGTCTTGCTCTGTCACCCAGGCTGGAGTGCAATGGTGCAATCTTGGCTCACTGCAACCTCCGCCTCCCAGGTTCAAGCGATTCTCCTGCCTCAGCCTCCTGAGTGGCTGGGATTACAGGCACATGCCACCATGCCCGACTAATTTTTGTATTTTTAGTAGAGGCGAGGTTTCACTGTATTGGCCAGGCTGGTCTCGAACTTCTGACCTCAGGTGATCCGCCCGCCTCGGCCTCCCAAAGTGCTGGGATTACAGGCATAATAACAATTAAATGGAAAACATTTGACAGGCACTTTGTAGGCTGCTGGAAAATACTCGCCAAATAATTTATCAGTCTCTAGTAAGAACAGTACTGTTTTCAAATAGGTGATCTTTAGTAAAAGTACAACAAAGGAACATTCCCACCTTATTTTATAAACAATACAGTATGGGAGAAATGCATATGGGTCGAGGGTTTACAAATACGTGTTTTCTAGCTTGTATGCCTATATGCATGTGCCATATGGATCTCCAGGGTTTTTTGTTTCAGGCAATTTTTTTACTTTCTCAGAGTCTCAGAGGCATACTGATTATGACATTATTGATTTGTAAAAGGGGGCCATGGAGGAGATGCAGGAGGGAGTGGCGAGCTGGGAACATGTCAGTTTGTGAGCTACCGGGAGGGAGGATGGCGGTGGCTGCCAGAGGTGCTCAAACAGATCAGCCTTGGTGATCAAACTGCTCAATAGCTATTGATCAGCTGCAGCTCCCTGGTGCAGCTGTGGAGGTCTGATTCAAGGGAGCACTGCATCATTATTGTGAGTAATTAAGGCTAATGCAGTAAAAGCGCCACTAAAGTTTGCTCGAAGTGAGGCATAACTTGAAACAACTTCTATTACACTAGCCCAATAATGATTTCACAATCATATCAGATAATCCATACCTGAATAAGCCAGGCTGATTTTTCTGATTTTCTAGATGTTGAACTAACTTCTCAGGGAGATCATGTAATGTATAGAGAATTTGTGATTTCATTTCAGAAACATGTTTTCTCCCCTTATATTTAAGATGAGTCTATATGAATAAGTAGATTCCAAATGGTGGTAAGAACTCAGTAAAACATCAAGGCAACAAAATCTGAATGGTTTTGCACTTGAAAGACTAGACTAGCAATAATGGGAAAACAAGTATATCCTTTCTCTCTCTCTCTCTCTCTCTGTCTCTCTCTCTCTCTCTCTCTCTCTCTCTCACACACACACACACACACACACACACACACATATCAATATTCTCTCATCTTAAGTCCAAGGAAGAAAAAAAAAGCAAACATGTATCAGCCATGCTATCATCAGATCTCAATTGCTCGAGGTGTAGCTCAGTTCAAGATAACAAGGAAGTAGAGTGAGCACAGCTCTTAACTTCTATCTGTTTTGTATCAGGCTAATCCATTATTATTTCAAACTATATTATCTACCATGTTTAAAAGTACCAGAGCC